TTGTTTGAGTGGATGCAGAAATGGTTGCAACCATCTCTGCAGCCACTGCATCTTTTGAGGCAACTGTAATCAAATTTTGTTGCATTGTTCCTTTTGTACAATTGTGGGGCAGTCCTTGCCCAATCACAGAAAAACAATCTAAACATCTTTTTTTAATGTTTCCTTCGTTCTTAGGTTTACTTGCTGATAGTGGATGAGGAATGTTCAGATAATTTCTGTAAATTTGACATATCAAAAAATCACAAGGAGATTCTCTGGTAGCTGGTCGAACTAAGATGCTCTTAAAATTGTAAAGACTTGGAAGAGGAGGATTTTCACCCTCATCTTTACTTCTGATGGCAACATGACATCTTTCACAAATACCTGAAAGAATCCTGTAGTCAGAAAAATCCAGCTCAACTTTGAGAACATTTTGTGTTTTCTCAATCAGAAAAGTTGTGTTTGAAGGGAATTCAGAAGGGAAAGCTCACGAATTCCCTTCTGAAGCCACAAAAAACAAACAGCTTTTCTATTTTCTTTGTGGCTTTTGGCTTTGTTCGGTATTTTTGCAACTAATATGTTCTAGTGTGTTGTGAAAAAAAACGCCACAAAAATAAGACAATTATTAGTTTAAGGTATTTGTTTTGGGAATGATAAAAACAACCAAAATAATTTTCAGAAACACTAACATTTTTACTTAAAATTACTTCTAGATGTTTTCCCCATAACCAAATTGAGTAATAAGCTCTGTAAAAATGCAAAATCCCCTGTCATATCGCAATTTTTTAGGTCTGTTGTTTTCAATATTTAAAATTAAAATATCTTTCTCGGATGTACTAGTTTGATTTCAAAATTTATATCTAAATGTTCTACTATATATGGGCTATCATCGCCAAAAAGGGTTTTCTGGGGACATAAGTTTAGGTTTGATCATGGTTTCGGTACACCGTGGTACGTGCATTAAGATTTAAAGACCGTTATAAATCATGCAAATAAACAAAACTGGCGTTTTATGCTCATATTGTCCCAAAATCTTTAATTGTAAAATGAAAATTTTGTCTACTACAAGTTCAACATAACTCTTAGATTTTCTGTTTTTATGAATGTTTTATGTCATAGAAACAAAAGCTACAGAAACCCTTAATTCAAATCAATTTGTAAAACTTTTAAATGAAGCGTTATTTGTAAGCTGTTTGGGAGCCGTTGAATAATGGCCCAGCTTATGCATCTCCATGGTTAGCTGAGGAAAGTTTTGATAAATTTAGAAAAAGCATTTTCCATTTACATCTAGAGTTTTAAAAAACTGTTTCATGATTTCCAGTTTTATATTTGAGTACAGAAAGGTAATTTTTTCACAAGATTTTTACGTAAGATAAAGTTTTTACAAGTGACTCCTTGACATTACTTTACATTTCAGCAGTCATTTTTTATTCTACTGTCTTAAAGAGTTATCAAACATGAAAAGAACAACTCTCTTGAGAACATACCCAGGAAAAAAAGTTTTATAGAATTTCTATAAACTTTTGAAACAAACGGCCTATAGAAATTCTATAGAAATTTACATAAAAGTCTATAGAATTCTATTATTTTCTAAAGAAATTGCTTTGAAACTTTTTTTCATAGAATAAAAAGTAGAAAAAAAGTTCTACAGAAATTTCTATAGAAGTTAACAAAGGCATTGTACAAATTCTATAGAATTCTATGGAATTTTTATTGGCTATATGTTTTAAATGTTTATAGAGATTCTATAGAACTTTTTTTCCTGGGTACACTTATTCATTATTGCCAGAAATTAATATAAAAAGGTGCTGTCTGATGCTAAACTCCATTATTCCCAGTTAACTAAATCTAGTATCTTATTAGAAAATAGGTTTTAGAGACTTTTGAAAATCCTTAAACAGAGTCATTAACGAAGGTAAGTCTAGCATTACACCTCTAATTCATGGTTCTGATCTTATTAGCACTCCCAAGGATAACGCTAAACCATTTGTAAAGAACTTTTCTTTTTGAGGTTTGACTATTGAATCTCTATAAAAAAATTTTTCGATTCTCTCTTGAATCAATTAATTAAGTCAATCCATTGTTAGAAATTCAATGTATTTCCAGCTTCCGTTGCAAAGTCACATTTCAAACAAACTTTTATTGTACTTTTTACTAATACTACTTTTAAAAAGAAAATAATTTCGAACAGTTTTTTCGTACTTTAAAACTATCTATAAAGTCAACAAAACTTTTTTTTTTATTTAACAATTTTGCAGGGAAAACGATGATGCGGACTCACCAGTGAGCAAGCTGGAGAGTCTTTTAATTCAAAATTTTCAAAAATTTCAAGGAACAGGTTACCCAAAGACTATCACTATGACTAATACAAGAAAAAATTTTCTTGTATTAGTCATAGTGTTTTTGACTGCTGTTTTGACGTACAATAATGAAAAAGCTTACTGTACAATGATTTATTATTCAAATTTATGAAACTGTGAGGATTGCTATATAATAATAATTACCAATATTGTTAATTCACTTCTTAAATTGATACTATTAATAAGAAAACCTATGTAATTATAGTTTTTTTTTATTTATTTGGAAAATGCCATATTTCATTAGGACAAAATGTTACAATTTTTTGAAACATAATTTTGGAGTTACTAGACTTAAAGCGAACAATATGTGTTAAAGGTTTTTCTGTACAATTTTTTTCAACCTGAAGTTTGCTCAGCGAAACAGTGAGCCAAGACCATTATTTAACCTTATTAATTCAAATTAGTCAAACTTTTCTATAATGACTCAACTTTTTCTATTCTTTTTGATTTATTCTTAGGTTACCGCGAATGGGAGGTGCGTAGTAAAAAAACTCAATCAACTAATTTTTGCACCATTAGTTGGCAAATTGAGACCTATTTGTACCTTGATTCGGCATATTGGGGAATTGGAGAACCTTTTTTATTTTTTTGCAACCTTCCGTTATTGCAATACCTAAGGGATTATCCAAAAATTACGTTACGCAGTTTTCGACCGTAATTTGACTCCCTCCACCTCCCTTCTAACGGACTGTTACGGCTGTAACAGTATATGTACAGTGCACTTTCTGCAATTTGACTTTAAATGGTCCAAGTGCAAAACTTTATATAATTGATGCACAAAAGTGTGCAGCTACAAAAAAACAACCTTTGTGCACTAACTAAAAAGATCGCCTATCGGTATTTTCGATACCGTTAGGCGAACCTGGTAACCTTGGTTTGAGGCGTTTAATCCACCTGGCCACACTAACGTTGTAAGTTGTAAGAAAATTATATTTATAAAATAATATTTTTTGCATGTATAATTTATTGTTATGTGTTATTATCAGGCTTGTGGAGCCGACTGTTTTTTTTACGGTTCGGCTCCGGCTTAGGTTCCGAAGAAATATTCGGCTCCGGCTCGGCTCCCGGCTCGGCTCCGGCGCCCGAACTTTATGCAAGTTATGGAAATTTTTTTGATCACATTTGCCAAACTATAACTATACCAACTACAACAATTAATTTTTAATCAACTCTCATGATTTCACGGTTATTGTATTACTATCACTACTCTACTCTACTACCGGATATTACATTTAAGAAGAAAAATGTTTTGGGTAAACAAACACTTTTTTCTATATATTATTTACCCAAAATTAGAGTTTTTAGTCCGAATTTTAAAAAGACGTTTAAAAGACCTCTTTTGTGTGTCCCGTGCCCACTGGGTAAAACATGCAATCGTTAAATTCAAAACGATAAAAATTTCAAAAATAAAAATAAAAAACAATTTAACTAATGCAAAAACTTCAATATTTATTTTAATCTAAGGAATTTGAAGATTATAAAAGTGCTTTTTATTTTAATATTTTTCATTATTTCGAATAGCGAACATTTACGCTAATTGACGATATTAACTCTTGCACAGTGTCTTTTATAATTTTTTTTCCTACTAATGCTCACTTTCTTTCAAAATCAAATCTTTAGCTGTACTTATTGTTTTGCCACTCTTACGCAATTATTCTTTGCCAATTCCCCAAAATTTCTCAATGGGACGGACCTGTGTGCAGATTAATGGATTCAAGCTTTTTGGTATAAATTTGATGAATTTCGAATTGTACCAATTTTCTTAGATAATGACAAGAAGCAAGATTAGGCCAGAACTAACAAGGGATATCGTGATTTCGATAGTATTGCAAAAGTCTAGCTTGCAAGTATTCTTTAATGTAAACATCCGAGTTTAAAGTTGACAATGTGACAAAAGCTCGATATCTCAACATCAGCTTCATATTGCTTGCCAAAAGTTAATCTTTAAAAAACTCTGAAAATTTATACCTTTTAGCTTGTTCTTTATTTGATAAGCCAAGATTTTGGTTGGTGATTGTCGAATACTAATTGCTCTTTCTTAGCCTTAAAGCCACTCTTTCTTCCAGATCCTTTTGCTCGTTCGATAGATAGAGAGCTCATGTATTGTTTTATGATCACACAAACAGCAGTTTTGCTAGATTCAGATGCTTTAGCGATTGAAAGTAACAATACAGAAGAATTTGGTAGATTCTTGTGCAGACTTTTTTTTGTTAAAAAAAAAGTCTGCACAAGAATCTACCAAATTCTTTTGTTAAAAAAAGAATCTACCAAATTTTTTTGTTAAAAATGTGTTAGTGACAAGTTTTAAAACGAAATTCATCGTTCCAAGTTTAACGATTGTCTTTAATATAGTTTTAAAGATATGAATAACCTTTGATCGTTAACTCGCGCATCAAATATTTAACAGCGTAGTATCGGTATAGAAATATGATATAAGGCAATATATGTAATACTCTAATGTTTCCATATATACTTAGGTCGTTAGAGAAGTTCGTAGAACTTCATCTATAAAGTTACAATAAGTCAGGAAATAGTTAAATTTTTATATATCATCTTAAATTGTGTTTAATTATGAACATTTTAAGTACTTGTTGAAATATTTTGAATGTTTAAAGAGTTATTTAAATTTTATTATATAAGCTTGAAAGAAAAAATTTAAAAATGGAAAAACTTGAATATCGAGCATACATTAAAACTCGTGCTCTACTTGGAGTTTCAGCACAAGCCATAACTGATAAATTGGTTTTAGTTTATGATGACCAAGCTCCAAAATATAGTACAGTTGCCAAATTGGCTACTTTATTTAAAGATGGTAGAGAGAGTCTTGAAGATGATCCTCGCTCAGGGCACCCTAAAACCACGTATACAGCTGAGAATATTGAACGTATGCGAGCCATTATTGAAGAAAATCCACATGCAACACATAATATAACTGAAGCTTTAATATCAATTAATCGTTTTACAATTAAAGAAATTATTCACAACGCACTTAAAAAAAGAAAACTAACATCACGTTGGATACCCCATGAGTTAACCAATGAAAATCGAAAGAAAAGAGTTGAGGCATGTAAGGAAAATTTAGCCCTGTTCAGAAACGGCCAATGGAGGCTATGCGATATTGTTACAGGGAATGAGTCATGGTTTTATTTGAGACAAGTAGGACACAAGTCAGCTAACGCTAGTTGGGTCGGTGAAGGTAAAAATCCAAAAACTATAGTAAGATGCGATAGGTTTCAGCCAAAAAGCATGTTCTACATCTTCTTTAAAACAACAGGTGTTGTTCATTCGGTTTATGTTGAAAAGGGAGACACCAATACTAGCGAATATTATAAAAAAAGTTGTTTGAACCTCTTATATGCAAATTAAATAAGCAAAGACCTAAAACGGGCACTTACAGTTTCAAATTTCTTCATGATAACGCTCAACCCCATGTAACTCAAACCGTCACAAATTGTCTAAACAAAGCTAGAATTACAATAATTTGCCACCCACCATACTCACCAGACTTAGCTCCATCCGTTTATTGGCTATTCGACTTGATAAAAAAAAATTTTTGATGACGATACTGACGTCGAAAGCCAAAAAACCCGCATAACGAAGCTACTTGAAAGTATACCCAAAAAAGAGTATAAAAAAACGTTTCACAAATGGCTTGAAAGGATGCAACTTTGTATAGATAATGATGGACATTATTTAATAAAATAAAATTAAAAAAACTCTTTTTTTTTTTTTATAGGGGAGTTCTACAAACTTTCCAACAACCTAAGTAATTTAATTTTTTTAAATAAAACATATTAAAAAATACTTTTAAAAATAGTATTTTGTTGAGCACAAAATTGTTTATAAAATCATTTTTTTTTACGTTTTGGCAAGACAGTAATTGTTAGAAAAAAAGTTAAAAAAAAAATAGAAACTCAATTTTAATCAGTAAACGAATAAAGTTTGTATAGAGTAAAAAAAATGTATATACACATTCTATTCCTTTAAAAAAAATACGAGAGCCGAGAGATGTTTTATATATAATATATAGAACATAATAACCAGGTCTGTGGAGCCGAGGCGGAGCCTCAGCTCCACAAGCCTGGTTATATAGTTATAATATTTGCTTGTATTATATATCGGAAGAATATAATACATGCAAAATAGCTTTATAAAATTGGAATCATGTTTAGGATAGCGATGTTAATTTATACAATTTTACACGGAACTATTGGCGGTGAAAAAAAAAGCATTAAACAGACTGAAAAGTACTAATTAATTAACTCAAAGAAGCTCAGAGAATTATAGACATTATTATACAGTATTATATTATACAGTATAGAATTATAGACATTATTAATAGTATAGACAGTATATTATACAGTATAGAATTATAGACATTATTAGTAGTATAGACAGTATATTATACAGTATAGAATTATAGACATTATTAGTAGTATAGACAGTATATTATACAGTATAGAATTATAGACATTATTATACAGTAAACTCTGGATTATTCAAACCTTCTAGGGGAATTAGAATTCACTTCGAATAACCGAAAGTTTGAATAACTGAAAATCTTCTTTAAGGTGACCTTTTTCAAGTTACTATCAAATGTTAATTGAAGGAGAGAGTTAAAAAGAAGAAAAACTTTGAAATAAGCTATTTAAGTCTTTACCTTCTGAAAATTTAAATTTAAAATAAAAAAATTAATCTTTGCAATTTATCAAAAAACTTTGTAAACAGAATCATGCTTTCCAAAACTTAACTTTTGTCTCTTAGCTCCAAATTGACTGACTCTCAATGATTATGTCTTCTTAATGCTTAATCAAGTAAGTTCAAGTGTTTTGAGGAACCCTAAACTTTTCGACTACATTCTTTTTAGTTTGACCTTTTTCCAATCTTTAAAAGATATTTATCTTTGATTGATAATTTGATATTTTTGCTCAATTTTTACTATAAAATTTGCGTGAAACAAAGAGAGTTTATTAAAAAATAGTGGTCGATCGCACCTGACGACCCAGACGCTTCTTTCGCGTAAACGCTATGTTAAGATTTTCATTACACTGAGTTTAATGTGTTTAATTTTTTAATATTTTAATAACGTTATTTTTTTTAAAAATATACATAGTATGTATATTAGTAAATATATGTATGTATACGTCATTTTTTTTACATAAATACATAGTATGTATATATGTAAAAAAATAACGCTATCAAAGTATTAAAAAATATAAATTAATCAAATGTTATCAAAACATATGTAAGTATTACATTATGTATGTATTTATGTATGTATGTATGTATTTATGTATGTATGTATGTATTTATGTATGTATGTATGTATGTATGTATGTATGTATGTATGTATGTATGTATGTATGTATGTATGTATGTATGTATGTATGTATGTATGTATGTATGTATGTATGTATGTATGTATGTATGTATGTATGTATGTATGTATGTATGTATGTATGTATGTATGTATGTATGTATGTATGTATGTATGTATGTACATTATGTATGTAATTTACATACATATATTTCCTTCGGCTCAAGATACCATTGCATTACATTTCGAAGTGTAACTTAATTGAATGTATGTAATCAAAATATAAGTATGAAGTACATATATTTTGATTACTTTCGATTAAGTTATATTTCGAAATGCAATCTATCTTGAGCCGAAGGAAAACTTCGAATAATTGACGGGATGTTTGACAAAGGGAGCAAAAAATTAATTCGAAATAACGAAATTTTGAATAACTGCTGGTTAGAATAACTGATGGGTATTTACATGAGTTCGTTAAAAAAAATTCACGGGGAATGAAAACTGCTTCGAATAACCAGGAAATTCGAATAAGTGCCAGTTCGAACAACCAGGAGTTTACTGTATTTAAAATTGTTTTATATTTTGTAAAATTTTGTTTTCCACCTTCCTAAAAATATTAAAAAAATATTTTTAGGAAGAAGGGGGTACAAAATTGCTGCGTAATATTGAAGAAGGAGGGAAGGGGGGGGGGGAGGAGAAAGAAAATTTAGTATTACGATGCGTTACAAGGGGGCGGGGGAAGGAGATCATTAACTGTCAAAAACTGCGTAACGTAATTTATGGACAAACCCTTTCAATATTTGACATTTTTCAGGGCAGATAATGATTATTTAGGCATTTTACAATCAAACTTTTGGCATTTAACATTTAGAAAGTATTGGCAAATCTTTTAATAAATCAACATTCTTCCTTATTGATGCTTTTTTAAAATTGGAACTGGGAAATTTATTTAAGAAAATTAAATAAATTTTGATTTTTTTATTAGCAATAAAATTTTTTTCATAATACAAGTTTTTCAGCAATTTATTTGAAGCAACTTTAATCTGATAAACCAGTTAGTTGTCCAACAATGACTTTCACAATAGCTCCGTTCACTTCAATGACAACTCTAAGTTTAAAAAAATTCCATTACCCAAAAGTTGATGTGATATTACCCCTGCCTCTGGTTATTACAATTGGATTGTCCGTGGTAAAATGAAAGTTACATAATACTTTAAATTTTTGTGCCCAACGATTTGAAAAAAAATGAAATCCTGTTAAATTATTTGTAAAAGATGTCCGTTTTCTGACATTTTTCATTTTTTTATTGTTGGTATCATTTATAAACTAAATAGTTAATACTCTTGTTCAATGGTTAATACCTCTTTTGCTCAATGACAAGCAATTGTTGGTCATTGCGCATAATGCATTTTAGATGAAAAAGCAAACCGGAATTGGCTGATATCCAAGATGGTGTTTACCGCCATTTTCAATTTATCAAAACCCTAATAAAGCCTAACTGTACAACTAATGTTTACTAAAATCTTTTTGTCTTTTCTTTTCTGCTTATTTACATTTGTCGTTGTTTACAAAAACAAACAAACAAGAGGCTTCTGAAAGAAGATTATAACGATCTTATCATCAGAACCTTTTACAAGTTTAAAACTTTTTTACATCAAAACATAAACAATGATAAAAAATTACAATAAATCGTGTTATAAATTAAAATATAAATTATATCCCTAATTTTATATATAATAAAAAAGTTGAATCTTATCGTCAGAACCTATAAAAACATAAATATATATGCACAGTAAATACAGTAAGACATCTTTTTAAAGTAGGAAAGAGAAAGTATAATAGTCTTGAAACTAAAAAGACAAGTACATGGTTGTTATAAAAAAAATTTGAATTTATCATCAATAAATAGAGAAAAAAAATTTTAAGTTTATTTTTAAAAATTGGTAAATTAATGGATATATCAAAATTAGGAATAACAGTTTTATTCTAAAGATATTAATGTTCAAAATGTAATGCAAAGTTTGTTAAACTTTGTTCTAGATATTGGTTTATATACATAATTTTTATTTTTACGTAAATATTTATTAGAAAATATAGGGTACGTACGTCCCCCCCCCCCCGCCCAACTTTATAGAAAAATCTAGACATTTTTAGAATTTGACGATTGTGCCCATTCCACTTCGACACCCGTGTTGTCGGCAATGCAAATGTTCTATGTTCTAGTCCATGTTTTTACACAAATGATCTAGTCCATGTTTTTACACAAATGTTCTAGCCCATGTTTTTACACAACACTACTTGTGAATAGACTACTCTTAACTATATAACTTATGGATCTTTTTTTAGCCTAACTAAAAAAACATCTGAGTATGATACGGACAGAAGTTTTACATTCTTAATAAAATCTATTAAACTTTGAAGTTACAGAATTTAAAATTAATCAGTCTGTTGAGCTAATAAAAGATCTGTACCATGAAATGCTCCATAAGCTGTTGTTGCTGTAGAGTGGTGGTCAATATTGACAATAACAGTAAATAGTTGTTTTCGCAAATGTTTTTGCAATTTCAGAGGACACACAAAGTTACCATTGTTATGTTAACTGACACCTGATTATCTAATTCAGTTGTCAGAGAAAGTAAAAACCAACATGCAAGTAACCATATAACAAATAACATCCATATAACATACAAATGTTATATATAATTTTTTAATAAATTTTAACATTTATAGCTAGTTTATTCCGTCAGCAACCATATAACATGCAAACCAAGATGAAACGGCATATAGAGAAATAATTGTTTTTTTCTATTTACATGCACAAGCAAACAGGGGTAATTGCATTTTTTGTGATTGAATTTGTCTAGTGCAATATAATATATATATACACTATTATATATTATTCAAATTTATGAAACTGTGAGGATTGTTATATAATAATAATTACAAATATTCTTAATTTACTACTTAAATTGCTACTATTGATAACAAAATCTATGTAACTATAGTTTTTTTTTTCTTTATTTGGAAAATACCATATTTCATCAGGACAAAACGTAACAATTTTTTGAAACATAATTTTGGAGCTACCAGACTTAAAGCGAACAATATGTGTTTAAGGTTTTTCTGTACAATTTTTTCAACCTAATTTTCGCTCAGCGAAACAGTGAGCCAAGACCATTATTCAACCTAATTAATTCAAATTAGTCAAACTTTTTTATAATGACTCAATTTTTTCTATATTTTTTGATTTATTTTTAGGTTGCTGCGAATGGGAGGTGCGTAATACAAAAATTCAATCAAAAAATTTTTGTACCATTAGTTGGCAAATTTTTTTGTACGTACCTTTTTGTACGTTCAGTCGGCATATTGGGGAAATAGAAGGACCTTTTTTTTTTGCGACTCCTCGTTATTGAAATACCTAAGAGGTTATCCATAAATTACGTCACGCAGTTTTTGACCGTTATTTGACCCCTCCCCCCTCCTCTCGTCACAACATCTTAACACTTAAGTCTCGTCACAACATTTTAACACTTTTTTCACCCCAATAGTTCCGTGTAATAATGTATAAATGGACATTGCTATTCTAAACATGATTCCAATTTAATAAAGCTATTCTTTTGATATATAATGCATGCAAAATATTATATATAAATTGGAGTTGGGAAGTTTAAATAAGCAATGTTTTTTTGATTTTTTCATTAGCAATAAAACATTTTTCATAATACAAGTTTTTCAGCTATTTATTTGAAGCAACTTTAATCTGATAAACCAGTTAGTTGTCCAACAATGACTTTCACTATAGCTCCGTTCACTTCAATGACAATGTTTTTTGCGGCATCAATAACAATTCTTTTGAGGTTTTGAAGAGCATCAATTACTTGTGGTTTGCTTTGTTCGATAACTTTCATTGTGGCATCTTTGATTGCAACACCTAATTTTCCGACTGCTGATTGAACTTTGGCCCAAACTATTAAATAGATAAAATGTTTTGCGTTAAATTTAATTTTTTTTCAAAAATGCACTATCCTACTGTTTTCTTAAAACAACAAATTTATTTTTTTCTTCTGTAAAACATATACAATTAGATTTTCTTACTATCAGAAATTGCTCTTTTAACAATTGGTTGATCGTCTTTCAATTCCATAATGGCTGAGGTAAAATCAAGCTCTGCAACTTTTTCTGCTGACTCAATTTTATTAATAGCAGCTGGTGTAATTTTATTTTTTAATTTGTCAACTAAGTCATGAACTTTGTTTCGGATGTTTTTCCACACTAAAAGTAAGCGTAAACAATCTTGTAATATGTTACACATAAAAAGTATATTTAAGGAAAAATAATTGCAATTCAATATTTTATGTCAACCTACTTTTCTTGCATCATTTTAATAACAATTGATTTTTTTAAAACAAAGTTTATTTATGAAAAAACGTTTTACTAAATATTTTTTTTAATTCAACAACTCACGGTCTCCATTAACTGGTAACATGTTAATCAACTCCTCAAGTTTTTCAGCTAGCTGATCAATACGATTATGAAAACGGTCAAGAACTTGAACAACAGCAATTCTAACTATTGCATTGGCATTCTTAAATGCATCAATAATTTTGCTTTTTGTATCTTCCCAAGATCCTAAAAATATTGTTTAAAAATCAGCAAATATGTTTGTTGTTCCTCCATGCTTAAATTTTACATACCATCGGAATAAGGGATGGGGCTGTAATGGCTTTACTTACCATCGGAATAAGCAAATGGAATTGTAATAGCTTTTGTGAAACCTTCTTGTACTTTCTTTGCAAGTTCAACAAAATCAATGGTGCCTGTTAGTTGTAAACTTTCCAGGTTCTTTAATGTTTGCATTAGTTCTAAAAAGCGATGTATGAACATTCATTGCGCAAACTTTTTTTTTTTAAGGAAAAAAGTTAAATTAACTTCTTACTTAATAGTAAAAAAATAATAACAAATAAGTGAAAATAAAAAACACTTAATATATGAGTACAAAAAAATTTATGATAATTTTTTTTTGGGTTTATAAACTTGCTCTTAGTGAATATTATCAGTTTAAAAGTGTAACTTGAAAAAGCTACATACGATTTAAAATTTCTTGAAACTTTTCCTTTGTTATTCCTTTGTTTAAAGTAATGTCACCATGGGTCAACAAGGGTATTAACTCTTTGTAAAGATCAGCTGTTTTCTCAGCCATTTTGACCATAATATCAGCTACTTCTTTATCGGCAGTCTCGACAAGATTGATCAGCGATCCAGTAGCTGCTTGAAAGTTAACACTATCCTAAGATGTTACAAAATATATTTTTGTTACTTTAAATGATAATTTAAACAAATAGTTATTATGTGAAGATAGAAAACTATCTCCAAGAACTCTTATGACAGTTTTTATAATTAATATAAACTTACTACCTGTTGAAAATCATTTTGAGGAAAAGCAATCGTTTGCGAGAGAAGACCCAAAACAACAACAGCGAAGATCATCTAAAAACAAGTTATAACTAAGTTATGAAACGTATATAAAGAAACAAAAAAAATTACTGTTTTGACTGCATTTTTTTCCTAGTGGGCAAAAGATGTAATGAAAGTAATGAACGTTTTTAAAACAAAAATTCTTTTAAAAAGGCAGCGTTAATAACACCAGAGAGAACTACTGCTGCTATTTTGATGGGATTTAAATGTCATCAGACGCTCTCTAACACTCACTCATCTATATTATCTATAATCTTGAGCAGCAAACATAAGAGTCAAAAGAAATTTATTAAGAAAAGAAATAAAGCAAGAAGAAGAAGAAGAAAAAAAAAAGAAGGTAATAGATATTTTATTTCATATTGTATATATGCATGGCTGCTGCTTTACTCATGACTTTCCACTATATCCATAGAAACTATATCCATAGAAATTTAAAATTACTTAACAAAATTAATCTTAAGATAATCGAAGGATAATGTTAAGATTTATTATTTTACTTATTTATTTAAAATTACTTAAAATAAGTAATACTTTGTTAAATTACTTCATATAAGTAATATTTTTTTGAGAAAAATATAATTTTACTTATATTTATTATTATTTTATGTGTGTTTTATTGTTTAATTTTTTTTAACTGATGGCTAATAGTATTTTTTAGTCATGGCCATGTTGGAATTAAGTTTTCGTAGAAATGATCTACCCCCTATTCACCCTTAGGCGATCTAAGGACGGACATGTATCTAGTTAAAATACTGTTTCATACATTGTACTTTTATTTCAAGCAGTGTTCATTTTTCATACAACGTATTCTCATTTCATACAGTGTGTTCATATTTCAAACAGTGTACGCTTATTTCATCCAGTGTGTTCATATTTTATACAATGTGTTCTTATTTTAAACAGTGTACGCTTATTTCATACAGTATGTTCTTAACAGCTTGTTGTTATTTCATGCGGTATGTTTTTAACAATGTGTTCTTATTACATACAGTGTTTTTTTAACAGTGTGTTCATATTTCAAACATATGTTCTTAACAGTAATGAAAATAATAACTATAAAAATCGTAATTGTTAACTGTAAAATATTATTCTATGTTTTAAGCGTTTCAGCTGCATTATTTTGTATGCTTAAATTTTTAAGTGACTGTATTTGAGTTTTATAAACATTACCTTTTCTGCACGCTTTGATATGTTAATACCTTGCTCTTTCCACAATTAACGCAACGTTTGAGGATAAAATAGACTAAAGAAGTTAGAATTTATACAAATGTTATCGTGGGTGGCGTAATAGTTGTTTGATCAGTTTTACCAGGTGGAGGCATTTGAACTTTCAACACGTAATATTTTTGGAGGAGATTTGTTGGTTTACCATCATAAACACTAGTGATGCTTTTTAAACAAACTTTTATAGTAAAATCATCAATTTTTTATAATTCATTATGAATTAACTAAAGTAACTTTTTTTTTTTTAAACTTGTAATACCAAGAAATTATTGACAAATGATAAATTGTAGCAACTTTTAAAAATTCTACTTTCTTATTTTATAATTAAAAAATTTATACTTTCTTGCGTTTCATATATTAATTTTGGTTTATTAAGGTACTCCAAGAAGACCAAACGGTCTAATAACAGAGCACTGCGGAAGATATGATACATATATATGTTAAATATATAATTAATAAAATCTTTTCTTTTTTTTGTAATACAAATAAAAATATAATAAACATATAATATATGATAAGTATAAGCTAGATTTGTGTAAAATTATATAAATAAATTGAAATTATATAAATAAAATTTAAATATGATTGTATTATACTTAAGATAATTGTTTTATATTGTTTTAAAAACATATTATTTCACATAAATAAAAAAATTATGCTGCTTTATTTTTTCCTTTTTGAAGTTTTTTTCGGATTGAAGTTTTATTCTATTTGAGTTTTATCTGTAGTCAAGAAGTTTGAGAAACCTCTTGAGAAACCAAGAGGTTTAGTGAAACCTGTCATACAAGGGTTTGTATGGATTTTCTCGCACGTTCTATTTAACTTTGAGTAGGGATGTAACGGAAGTATATCGTAGGTGAAACGGAGGTTTAAAATTTATGTTATCGCATTAAGAGCATAGTATAGCAAATATATAATAAAGATATCTTTAAACTTTATTATATATATATATATATATATATATATATATATATATATATATATATATATATATATATATATATATATATATATATATATGTATATATATATATATATATATATATATAATAAAGATAATAAAAATAAAATAATATATATAATGCAAATATATAATAAAGATATCTTTTATATATATATATATATATATATATATATATATATATATATATATATATATATATATATATATATACTATAGCATATTTATATGCGCAATTGCTCACTTTTTTTGCTAGCCTAAATTAAGTGAGCGTTTTTAGAAAACGATGAGGGAAAACAAAGAATAATGAATAAAAATGTTGCTGACCCATACCAAACCCTCAGTCGATGTAGCAGCACTGCACTGCGAGTCAGGCTATTTGTCAGTCGATGTATGTACTGAAGCCCCCAGCCGCAGGCTATTTGACGATAGGTGAGTATGACATCATCATGCTCACCTAACTTAGCAGTATAAGATATATATTGCTATATTAAAATATATAGCTGCATAACATATCGTCCTCTGAGTATTATATTGTTCAATCTACAAATGTAATAAATAAAATGTTCTATCTAATATATAAAATAAATACAAAAAGTATACATATGTATATAAATAAATATAGAGTTCTATAAAATATAATATATTAAATTATATCAGGTAGAACATTGTATTTATTTATATATATATATGTTTTTTGTATTTATTTTATATATTAGGTAGAATATTTTATTTGTAGATAGAACAAGATAATACTGAGGGGACGATATGTTGAGGAGCTTCGACTTCTGTTCCAAAAGGTTGGAATTTTCAATTCTCCTTATCTCCAACAATTTCAAATCTAAAGTTAAATTAGGATTTAAATTTAGAATGTGTGTGCATTCTATCAAACTTGAGAGTGATGGTTTAAAAAAAATGATTTTTAATGTTATGTTATCTATAAATTCGGATGTAATTTTGAACATACATCGAGTAAGTAAGACTCTTTAGAAGTAACTCCTTTTTATAATTTTTTTCTATTCTTTATTTTGAAAAACTTCATAAAACAAATATTTAAACAGGCAAAATAAATTAAAAAAAAAACTGTATTTTCTAAAAATGTTTTTATTTTTCACCAGAGGTTTACTTAGACTCGTCCCTTAAATGAGTGCAATTGTAAATATTTTAGCGAATCTCTCATATCAATTTAAATTATAAAACTAAATCAGTTTTAATTATAAAACCTAAAATATAAAGAAATTTTAAAAAATTTGAAAGAAAAAAAAACAAAAAAATATTTATTAATTTTTTTATTACGCTGGTCAACATATTTGGTTGCTGGAAATGTAGGATCTTTTTCTAAGGGGTCGTCCAAAAATTACATCACCCAATTTTTGACCAAAAAAAAATAAGGTTCTATTCTCATACTGTTTACCTACATTTTTTACCTTTTATTTCTATTTTACCTCCATTTCCTTTTACATTTTACCTCATTACATACCTAAATTTTCAATTGTAAAATGAGGTCTTCTACAAGTTCAACATAACTTTCAAATGTTCTATTTTTGAGAATATTTGTGTCATAGAGATAAAAGCTACACAGGCCCTTAATTCAATTCCATTTATGAAACTTTTAAATGGAGTGTTGCTTGTAAACTGTCCAATTTGGGGGCCGTTGACCGTCTCAAAAACTTAACATGAAAACTTAGAGTGCCTCCTTTGTTTACCAAGAAGAATGTTTTATTTTTTTTAAATTTGTAACTTGTAGTCTTGTATTTTAAAGCTAACAAAATTTTGCAACATTCCTTTTTTAAGCATGTACTTTTTTGGGACCGCAGCACATTTGTTTCCATTAAATTTTTAGGTTTTGCACTGTCAATCAGTAAACGCCAATCAAATTAAGTAATTTAAGAAAATCCTTCTTGCCAAAGCGGCAATTCATATTTATCAGCAAATGATGGTCCCAAATGATGGTCCCAATATTAATATACGGCTGTAACATAAATCTTAATTTTACCGCCACACATTTAGCTAATTTAAATTTTATCAACCGTAGAGCAAAGTGAATATTCGGCAATCATGCAAAGCAAAGTATGTTACAAAATTTATCAAAAAAGATGTGTGTTTAAAAAGTAAATATTAGGAGAATGCCAACTCTTTGAAGACGTGTGTGTTTAAACAATAAATTTTAGGAGAATACAAACTCTTCAAATACGAAGTCATTCATGCGAAATATTTTAGACATGTTGTTAAGACTCATAAAAACAAAAGAAGAAATAATAAAAAAAACTTTTTTTTCTCAGTTGCCATCAAACATTTATCTTGAGAACTTTATTCAAAAACAAATTAAACAAATATTTCTTTTTGATAAATTTAATTTAAATCTTATCCATTCACTATTTTTATTGCTTTTAACTCGGTATATATATATTTTACTAATTTTTACCAATTTTTGAACTTTTCAATATTTTCTGTTCATTTTGAATTATTTCTGTTATTTTTATTATAACTTGTTGTGTGTCAAAATATTTTATACTTTAATTTATAACCATAGCACATATTGAGACTTTCCGGACACTAATTTATCTTATTAAATTTCTTTAGTAACTTATCGTAATATTTTTGTAGCAAAGCAAACCAAGGAAGTTTTTTTACTCATACTTCCTTGAGGATAAAAAAGTTTAAAGCTTTTAAGTAGTTGAGGCGCAGTTGTTAGAACGCTGCTTCCCCGTGAAAAAGCGCACATGGGATACGCGTGGGTTTTTTCCATATGTAACCCATGATATGGTAAATTCTACATGGGTCCCATATGGGTTCCATATGGTAAATCCCACATGGGATACGCGTAGGCTTTTTCCATATGTAACCCATGTGGGGATTATTACTTTGTCCAATGTGTTTTGTTTTTTTGTGGTAGTTTTTACATTCATGTTTCCACATTTGTGTGGTTTGGACTGCTCTCCATAGCGACATATAAATGCCGTTATGAAAGAGTTAAAGCAATATTTAAAAGAGTTAAGGAAATCTTATGAAAGAGTTAAAGCAATCAATCGTACGCCTTTCCTGACGTTAACATGTAGCAAGTTATACTAGATTACATTTTACCAGTAGCAGATTAACTTGACCTGACGGTTAGCGTATCTGTGTTATATATGGTAAATCCCACACGGGTTATAGGTTGAAAATACCACATGTTTTATAGATCTTAAATGCCACATATTCTAATTCAAATGCTATAAAAGTAGCGAATACCATATAAATGAAACATCGAAATTAATCATGGAAACTTTCAGAGGCTTAAATTTATCTGGTAATAGCTACTTTATGCTATTTAGGATCAAATATATGCGATGTTCTCCAAAAATAATGTGGGATTTACCATAAAGTATTATAACAAAATTCTACAAAATTAAAAAACGTGTTGCAAAATGAATTTTTATTTAAATAATAGCTATTAATAAATACATTAAAAATAAATGTGAAAAATATTATTTGTTCTTTTGTGATTTACACGCCTTTTGTCAATTCAACTAATAAAGTAAATCGCCTTGGCTCGCTCAATGACAAGGTTTTTACCATATTAAAAAAAACTACTTTCTTCAAGCATTTCCTAAAAAATATATATATATTCATCAACAAATATGACTGTAAATAAATTTTAATAAAAACAAATATCAATAATAACCTAAATCAACCTAAATTATATGGTTATTAATTTAATAAGAAGAACAATCGTAATTAAAAACCTTATTAGTTAAGAGCAGTTTTAATTAAAGTCATGAATGACTTCAACTTGGACTTTATTTCACACATAACTATTTCTTAATTTATTACTTACAATGACTAATGTATTATGGATAGTTTAACAAGAGCTTGTATCCGTTCATGAGATTCTAATTAGGAAAATTCGTTAAACAAAAAAATAAATTGGTATAAATTATAACAAATATAAATGGTATAAATTATAACACATCTAAACAAAATTATTAAATTTATGATTTTCGGATATATATATACATATAGGTTACATATAGGACCTAACCCAGTGCTAAAAAACGTTTGAAACGTCTTGACGTAGGGGAAGTGGGGGCATAACCGCATATGGAGGCACAACCGTTTTTTAACATTTCTCTTTGAATTATCTAATCTGACAAAAAAACTACCACACATTAGTAAAACAGTTTTCTTCATTTTTCTTATGTCAAACAGAGTGCCTGCTATGTTTCTGAGAAGTTGTGCATAATAATGTATATTTTGATAAAAAATATTATATTTACATCATATTTTTAAAGACCTTTTTTTTGAGGATAAAGCAATATTTGATTTTAGTGTTAAAGATATGTGTTATCAGCGTTATTTCATCAAGTAAAAACCATTTTTGATATCAACATAACCTAATAAGCAAGCTATGAAACTGAATTCTTTCTAAAAACTGACCACTGGGGCAGAACCGCATAGACGCACAGGAGGCACAACCGCATACTTTTATTATTTATCAAAGTTATGTAATTACAAATAACAACAATTAGAATCGTCACATTTGAATGCGTTCATGTATAAACTTGAATAGTTTTGCTTTGAGATGATAGAAAAGTTGTTTAAGATGTTAGAAAAGTTTTGTTTTGAGAAAAAGATGTTAGAAAAGTTTTTTTGTTAAAAAAGTTTAGTCCAAAAAGTTTTGAAAGAAAAGTTTTGTTAAAAAAGTTTTGTTTTTTGTTAGAAAAGATGTTAGAAAAGTTTTGTTTTGAAAAAAAGTTGTTAGAAAAGTTTTGTTATTTGTTAGAAAAATTTTGTTAAAAAAACTTTGTTAGCAAAGTTTATTTTTTATTAGAAAAGTTCTGTTTTTTGTTAGAAAAGATATTAGAAAAGTTTTAAAATGTTAGAAATTAGATTTCGTATTTTTTTATTTAATTTTTATAAATGAGTTTTTAAATTAAAATAAAGCTAAGAGTATATCGAATAAGAAAACTGAGATTGTAAGTACAAAGAATGCCTACACAGTATACAAACGTGCAACAAAATCAGCAAATAATCTGAGCTATGACAATTGTAAAGAAAATGTACCTAGAACAGTGAACCCCCAACGATTTTTGTGAGTGTGCGGTTGTGCCTCACAATGGGGGCAAAACCGTTTTTTCACTAAGTGTAATTTTTGTGTAATAACATTTTCAAAACCCGTTCAATATTTTTCTTAAATGCATCGATTTAAAGCCTAATGATGCGGCTATTGAAATAAACTGCTAAAAAAACACATTTCGTTATTATTTTCATATAACATTCATTCAAACGTTACGGGGGCGGTTATGCCCGCACTTCCCCTACTTAATAACTTGAAGCACCTTAATAACTAGAAAGGAAAAAAAGTCTAGACAAAGATTTTAAAAGCAAACAAAATTATTTGCGTTTAAGTCCTATTTCATCTTAATTATATTTTTTCCAACATCTAAACTACAATCATTAGAAAAAAGTTGCTTCATCTCACCACAAAATTGATAAATCTCACCCTATTTATGTTTAGGTTATTTATAACTTCAGACTATTTAAAGCAGTTTGTACAATTTTATCTTTTTATTATTAAAAAAAAATTAAGTTTAAATATTAATAGAGCCTAAGGAACTTAACGAACCATTATTTATTATTTGTAGTTACAAACTGAAGCATTCGTAAATAATTAAAAAAAATTTTTTTTTCTTATTTATAAATAGTTTTTAATTTTCATTTGTAAACTTTTTACATAGTACTTTTGGTTAATCACAGTGATAGAGGCGTTTGGAGAGCTTGAAGGTGTTTGAGATTTTATACCGTTTTACCGATTATCCTTAAGATTGCTTTTTTTGCTGTCTCCAGAATTTACATTGTGTCTAGGTTACATAGTTTTAGTTTTCTTCGCGTTTCAAAGCAAAACAACTTTTTTTTAAATTCATTTTTAAATGATTTGAAAAATCACAAAATTTTGTAACAAAAAACAAAAAAACAAAAACATAATAACAATAAAAAATAATTAAATAATAATTATTTTTTTTTAATTTTTTCTTTTCAAAATTTTATGTTTATTTGTTATCGTTTCTACTAAAACATCTTGAACATCTTTTTCGGTTTTTTTATTGAAAAATAAAGTGTTATCAGAATCGATGCACAAAATTTCCGTTGTTTCTGAGATTTCCGCTTTGCAATCTTTTATTACAAGTAACCAACAATACAAGCGATTAATTTCACTTGAGATATGATAGATTAATTTCACTTTTTTTAATGTATTCAAAGTAAGATAAATACTTTCAAAAGCAGCTCAAAACGGCAAGTAAATGAATGACTCATAAAGCAACCTTTCCTTTGTATATCTAGGACATTCTGAAGCATAAAGTTTTAAACAACTCTTTTTAAAAAAACTAGGGTAAACAACTTGACTTTTGTGAAGTTTGTTTTTATTTTTTTCAAACAATGATTGCGATCATTCTAGTGGCAATCATATTGAATAACAGCAACGTATTTCCGCAGAGAAATTCTTTAAAATCAACCTGTGCGTATTTCGACTTCAAGATGTGCATGAAAACAAAGATAATGGTAAAGTTATATAGTGTTTAAAAAGCAATTAAAAGCTATATTATATAATATGTTATTAATGCAAAAACTGGAACAACAAAAAAAAAAAAAAAGGAAGGGGGTTCTTGTTCGGTCACTCTTCTTAAGTTAAGAGTTGTTTCGGTTGAGATGTTTAAAATTGTTAACACAGCCCTGTGAACTTTTAATAATGGGTTGTTTAAATACTGTGTCCTAAAGTTCTTTTTAAAATTTCAGTTGTTTTTAATTTTTTTTTTTTAGTTCCGCCTTTTACGTCCACCAGTAAACCCGGTCCCGGTCACCGATCCACCAGTAAACCCCCGGTCACAATTACGATCAAGCTGTAGCATGAATTTATTATTGTAAAAAAAAAATGATTCATTTAATTAGGTTTGTAAAAAAGGTTTCCCTGCATGCTGCCCATATCCGACCTCTAAGCTTCCATAAATAATTGGAAAAGTGAAAATAAAAATTTAGTATGACAAATTTTTTCTTTTAATGTTAATTCACATTATCAAGGCCACTATAGACAAAGAGGCTACTTTAATTGTGGTTACAACCTATACTCAACTTAATATTTCCGAAAAACGAACCTTGATAAACATGGCCGCTACGCGTAGAAACAAGTTGAGCGCGGTACTACCAGGGACGTGGTAGGGATTAAAATCGACTGGTTCCTTAAAAAAAAAAAAAGTCGTTTAAACTAAAATTCACCCGACTGAATTGTATCATACAACCGACTAAATTCTTCAAAAAACCGACTATAACTTGAAAATCACCTTCTTTTCGTGAATCCACCCCCTCCCCCATGTATATATATATATATATATATATATATATATATATATATATATATATATATATATATATATATATATATATATATATATATATATATATATATATATATATATATATATATATATATATATATATATATTCATATAGGATAATAGGAGAGATTATATATACTTTAGGGTGGTTCAAAAAAAGATATTTTTGAAAAATGTTTGCTGGCACCCCCTTAAAAAAGTTTTCCAAAATTATACCTGCTGGTCACAATCAAAGCAAAATATAAAATTTTCAATAATAATAATCTTTTTATATAAAAAATATAAGCAAAAAAAATATATATATATATTGTTATTAAAAAATCTTGTAAAAATGTTTGTTTTTTTCCATTTTAGGTAGAAAATAGTCATTTTTTTAAAGCAAATAAAATCTAAAATAATAATGTTACTATGAAATTCAGGTGTCTTATTTTATTTCCGTTTCTTTGATTTTATTTGATTCTTTTTATCATTGTTATTAAAAAATTGCAAAAATATTTTCAATAAGACAAGTTTCTGGTATGTTTGCTGGATCCATGTCTTTTGGTACCAGAGGTATCTTTAACGATTGTAGCCAGCATGTGATTGATTTAAAATTATGCAATGAAGCTAAAAAAAGTCAAAATACATTTTTTTATCGCAGTGATGTCCCTAAATAAATAGAATCTACCTCTATAAACTTATAAATAAACTCATTCCATTTAGTTAAATGTGGATTTTACTTACGCTTTCTTGTAAATTAGCAAGCGGAACATAAACTTTGGCTTGTTTTACATTTGAATAATAGAAGTCATTAACAATCTCTTAAATTGAATTTTTTATAATTTTGTAATAACTGTCAACATTTCGGACTAGCCACAATTTGCTATGTGGTCTTTTTGTTTGTTTCTAGCATAAAATAGACCTTTATATTCCTCAATACTAACTGAATGATTTCGTGACTAAAGTTAAAAACAGTTTATCTAAATCAACCTTCTGCAAAGAAAAGGTTTTTTTACAAACAATTTACCTTAGTTGATGTTATCATCTTAAGTTTCTAAAGACTTAATTTTCAATTTTGATTAGTTTTCTTTTATTTACTTTTATAAATTTCCAAGAAAAAAATAAAAAATGATATCAAGAAAAAAGGAATAATAAGTATAACAATAATTAAAACAAAAAAAAACAAAAAAAAAACTCAACTATTGCGTTGACTAGTGGTCATGTATCTCAAGCTCGTTCATTTGACATAAATCAAATATCTTAAACTAGTTAGTTTTCGTTTAACTTCTTTATCAAAAATTTTGAAAACATTTAAAATTAAATAATAATAAAAAAGAAGTCTTTTTGATTTTGAAATTAAAAAAAACAATGCATTTACTAAATTAATTTTTAACGAGTATGTTATAAATTACCCACGGTAAATTTTACCACAATATAAATATTTTTGAATAAATAAATAGATTTAAACTATAATTTTAAAATAATTTGTTTTACGGAAACACGGCGAACATTTTTCTCACGTTAATTAAGTATATGAACGTCGTTGACTTTGAATAAAATCTGTCAGTAAATTCAGTTATACCTAATATATTTTTAGTGGGAAAAGTTAATCACTTATATTTAACTAGGTCAATATTTATAACATTACAATAAATAAATCAAAGATTAATTAATTTGGTCTAAATTTTGTTCTATGCTAAGCTACTTCTTTTCAAAATTCTTACATAATTCTTTTTTCATTCAAATTCACTTTTTAAATAAAATACAAGGATATGAAAATAAATTTATTACGAAGAAATAAAATAAAGAAAAAAATTATTACGAAGTAATTATAATTGATAAATAATCAAAAAATTAGAAGTAACATAAACTATCCTAATCAATAATTGTTCTTTTTAAACAAGAAAAAAATCTTTTTCTAAAATGCACTTAAAAAAATATTTATTCCTAATAGTTAATTAATTATCAACTATTATTAATAATTAATTATAATAGTTAACTAGTAATTAAGAATAATTAATATGGATATATTACAGGTAGAAAAAAATGTTGTGTACGACAACTTAGCCAAGCTGGAAAGTGAAGTAACAAGAAAAAAACTCAAGATTTCCGTTCCAAAATGCGCCAAAGAAAAGTTTGGGAAGTGGAGATGCTTCATTGAAGAAAAACTTGTTTAACTATTTTTTTTAGTTTATAAAATCTTAACTGTATATAAAAAAAATAATTTGCAAACTTGAGACTTTTTTTATACTTGTTTAAATCAATTCTTTGATTATCAAGTTATATAAAGTTTTTAAAAAACATAATTAATCTTTCAGTTCCGTTAGTAAAAACAAAAAAAGTTATAAAATCATAATGATTGATGTTGAATTTTTTATGGTATAATCGTGACCTTAGAATTATGTTGTTCTATCTCCACTTTTTGAAAAAACTGAGTTTTGATACTGTTATGTACCTCAGAATAATGTTTTTCTACAGTATTAAAACTTGATTTATAAGTAGAAAAGTTGCGGAGAAAAATATTATGTTGAAAAAAAAAATGAAAATTTTCATAGTAGCAGAGAATTATGTTTAATACACATTACTTGATATTGCGTAATGATTGAAATATCATTAGTAGAAGTAAGAAAAATTATCTTCTACTAAAACTAGGAGTTGTTTACTGACATTAGGAAAGATTGTTCGCTAAATGGTAGTGCAAATTAGCGCAAAAATATGCGCATACATACGTTCAGCCCGGGTAAATAAAAAAAAAGGAATTGCTTTTACTCGGCGTTGTTGGAGTAATTGCTCAGCTTTACGTGAACAAAATTTTTAGCGATTTCGCTTAAATTTTTATTTACGTAAAGCTGAGCAATTTACTCCAATAAAGCTGAGTAAATTGCTCAGCATTACGTGAATAAAATTTTTGAGCAAAATTGCTAAAAATTTCATTCACGTAAAGCTGAGCAATTACTCCAAAAACGTTTAGTAAAAGCATTTGCTTTTTTTAATTCACCCGGATTATTGACTGACAAATGGGCTAATATACGAAATGTACATACACTGACTGACAATTACTTTTATATACACTAACTGGCGTTTATTTTTATATACAAATTGTATATTTTATCTCTAAAATTTTATTAACATAAAACTTATCAAAATTATCGAATTTTAGTTTTAAGTCTTTATGTTTTAAAAAAAAAATAATTAAATATATATTATTAAAAATTGCAACTTTGTTGTTGTTCTAAACTATATGCAAACACTACAATCAGGTCTCCGAGACTAACAATGATCAAAGTTTATTAAACGACCATTTTAATTATAACTTGAAATTTCTAGTTTTAAAGATAATGGTAAATAAAACTCTAACAAACTTCTAGTATTTCGAGTATTAGCTAGACGGATTCAAATTTAGTGATGTATACTTTAAAAACAACTTAACTCCAGTCTTAACTGTTAAAATCTCACCTTTAATATAGTTTATAATATTTTTAGTGAGTTCTTTTTTATTATATTTACTTATTTTATTATATTTTTTAATGTTAGATATGATCTAGATTGGAATTTTTTTAGATTAGATTGTATTTATTAGAACAAATAATTCTAAAGAACACGCAAGTCCATATTATTGGACTCTAACAGCGTACCCCAAAACAAATTATGTTACAGCGTATGACATCGAATAAATAATTTATAAAAAAAAAAACCATTAAGATATGCAGTCGATGCCGACATAACTTTTCAAAATTGAGTGAGGTAACTTTACTCTTAAAGATATTGATATAATCGGCATTAACATCATTGAAAGGCAACTAATTCCAAAGTTGACAATTCGTTAAGAAAAAACTATATTTCTGAATTTCTTGTCGATAGCGTGGTTTGCGTATTTTATATTTATGTCCTCCCGCGGTATTTTTGTTGTCAATAAAAAAGGACATAGATTTATCAATTAAGACCAAATTATGCAGAATTTTGAAACAAGTTGATAAATAATGTTTTAATCTTCTTATCTTAAGCGAGTCCAAATTAAGCAACTGAAGTCAACTATAATAAGTCAAATTGCTTAGGTAAAGGATTTTTTTGTGAAACGTTTTTGCGCGTTCTCAACTCCTTTTAATCTAATTATCATTAATAATTCTAATTACCACTAATTACTCTAGTTACCACTAATTATTTTAATTATCACTAATTATTTTAATTATCACTAATTTTTAATTATCACTAATTTTTAATTATCACTAATTTTTAATTATCACTAATTATTTTAATTATCACTAATTATTTTAATTATCACTAATTATTTTAATTATCACTAATTGTTTTAACCATCACTAATTATTTTAATTATCACTAATTACTCTTATTAACTACTCCAATTAAACTAAATTAGCAGCTAAAAGCATTAAAGACCAAATCTTGAAAACTGCATTACTCCTTTAATCAAAAGGAGCTATCTTTCTCTTCCAAAATTTTATGCTAAAAAAATTATTCTATTTAAACTAACGAACTGATGATTCTATGTAATTAAATGAATGGTGATACTTTTTAGAATTTTTACCTAAAAAAAAAGTTATAAACTTTAAGGGTAAGTTTAGCCATGTCGTTAAAATTTAGTAAGTTGTTACTTCAGCCAAATTTTTGTTTTGGTAAAGTATTTAAAAGTTAAAAGAAAAAAAAATTAAAACTGCATTATTTATTATTTCTTTTATAGGCAACTAAAAACTTTTCTGTTATCACTTATAAAATATTTTAGCTCTTCTTTTAAAAGATAAAAATTAAAAAAAGTTTTTAAATATATCAAAGAATATAGTAAATGCCAAAGTTGGTCAAAGAATGTAGTAACTGTCAAAGATACTTCATTTAAGAAAGTATGTGGTTATATAACAATAAACTTTTCTTGAAAAAAAAAAGGGCCTTTAGAAAAAAAATTGTGTGTGTGTGTGTGGGGGGGGGGGGGCACGTGCCGCTCTGGCCCACCCCGGTGTCGTTGGCCCTGACTCGGCCCAGACCTATTTCAGTCTTAAATATAATGTTTAACAGATAAAAATTGTGTAAAAAATAACGAAGTTAAGGTAACGATAAAATCTTTTTCAGTCTAGTACTTTTTATTAACAACAGAATCAATCCATGACCGCAATACTTTTGTATTAGAAAATACACCATATAAGCCTTTCCTTGCGCACCCAACGCCCCATGATATTGTTCCCCATAAATACCATATATCTGTTTTTTTCTTCAAATCGGAAACTTTACAGACCAGAGGACCACCGGAATCTCCAGCGCAAGCATCAATCTTTCCAGTATCGTATCCAGCACATAGCATTTCCTGAGTTACATTAAAGTTTAATTGGTTAAATGCCACAATACATTTATTTTGGTTGATCAACGGAACTTTAGCTTGTTGCAAAATCTAAAATAAAAAAAAAATAAAAATAATTTATAATTAACAAAATTTTTTTTTAAAATTAACAACTATTTTTGCCCTCTCTATTTAACGCAAAGCAGTCCACCAGAAATAAGATTACTCGAATTATGGAATCGTAGAGAAAGTTAATGGTCAAAATAGAATTGAGAAATCACCTTATGTCAACACCTTTGAGCGCATTTAAAATTGTCTTAAGTAGTAAAGAGAGATTATAAAAAGTAAAAAGGGGTTATAAAAAGTAAGTTGCTAATCTTTCAAACTAATTTTTTTTGTAGAACAAAGTTCCTTTAAACTGAAATTATTCAAAAAATATTTTTATATTTTACTCATTACTTAAAGAAAGATAATCTCTAAAAAAAAGATGACTCTCTAAAAAAAGATGACTCTCTAAAAAGAAATTTTACATTTTTGGTATGCAAGGATACGACTGTTGATCACAAATGACTTAATTTGTCAGTATAAGAATTTTTTATTTTTTACTTTTGTTAACCATTGGCCACAAAAGATAAAAAAGACAATTGTTTTCCAGCATTAGTTAAGCTTCTTTTTCCAGTGAAACGCAAATTTCATAAAATATTTTATGAAATATTAAATAAACATATAATCTTGGTTAGTTTTAGCTGTTTTTTTTTTTTTTTTTTTTAATTAAAAAGGTTTTTTTAATTAAAAATTAGGTAAAATATTTTGGTACTTGGTAAAATGCATCTCCATAATTGTGCAGATGGATTTTACCAAGTTTTACAGAGTTTAAAAGGTTGCAAAATGAAAACGCTTTTGCAACCTTTTTAAACTCTGTAACAACCAAAATACCATGTCTAGGTATGTATATTTAATTTTATTCATGCTTATTTTCAGCCAATGTATTAAAGCCTAATAATATACAAGTTAATAATAAATCTTATAAAAATATATAAAATTGTATAAATTGAAGTGATTAAATTATTTGTAGTTCTTAAATTACTAACCGGTCTGCATTTTGTCGCAAACTTGAATAGAGATTGTAATGGTCCTATCAATTTTATTAATGGCAGAATAGATAAAAATATATACAAAGATATAGTTAAGGATGTAATGCTACCACATGGTTAAGACAAAATGCCTTAAAAACTTTTTCAAAATCAAAGCAATTTGATTAATCGAATAGCCTTAGCAAAGTCCTGACCTTAATTCTATTCAATGTCTATGTAAGCTCATTGATTGACAAATTTTAGGTCGAAAACCAACAAGTAAACGTGATTTATTGAATACTCTGAAACAAGGAAGGGAAAAAACCAACATTATTGTGATTATGAAGCTGGTGGACTCCATGCCTTGTCACTGTCATGCAGTAATCAATGCTAAGTGCTTCCCGACAAAGTACTAAAGCAATTCAGTTTAAAAAAATTTTTTTAAACATTTTCAATTTAAAGCATGTTTAAAAAAAAATCTAATTCAAGTTTTTTTTCTGTTCGCGTACTTTTGCACGCGCAAATTTTAATTAAATGAATTTTTAAGATTAGATTGCTTAGATTTAGTAAAAATTTATATGTTTTTAGATTTGTAATCAATTTTTTGACATTTCAGTAAAAATTTGAAAGATATTAGACTTTTCATTCAAAAGTTATCTTAAGTTATGCTCTTGTCCGGTTACTTTTGCACGCTACTGTATAAACAAATAAGATTACAAAATTATAGCTATACCGCTGGTGCATCGCCGTATTCTTGTAATAATCCCCATCCAGTAATAAAACATTCTGTACCAATAGGAAATGTAAGTTGCGGTCCAGGTAAACATGCTGTTCGTACACGGTTGTTTAGCTTTGCAGTAGAATTAAGTCTTAACAGTGCTAAATCGTAATGGAAACCATTATGTTCATACTGAGGATGAAGTAGTAGTTCTTTAATACTGTATAACTGTTCCCAGCCATTGTCTTTTTTTATATCGTGTTCACCTATTGATTTTAAACATTTTTAAATTTGTACTATCGGATAATAAGAACTTTTTGTATAAAATTTTTATTTTTACCACACTGTTAAAAGAAAAATCAATTTAAGTTTTTGATATATATATTTAAACTTAAGGTTATTGTGGTAACTTTGACGTAATAAGAAAGTGTACCTAGCTTTGACGTAATAAGAAAGTGTACCTAACTTTGACGTAATAAGAAAGTGTACCTAACTTTGACGTAATAAGAAAGTGTACCTAGCTTTAACCAATAATCATTTTTGTCTGGATTGTCATAAAAGCAATGTGCTGCACTTAATACCCATTCCTCATTTATCAGTGTACCACCACAGTGATGACCAGGATTACCTGTGTTATAACGGTAATCAATGTTTACTTGCCACGGCCAATCTCCTTCTTTGGCATTTTTTCCACCAACAATTCTTGAATGACTTATTCCTTTTGTGCCACAGCTTGGCTGTATAGCTAAAAAGAATTTATATTGAAATTTACAATTAAAACTAATAAAAAGCATTGAATCAAATAATATATTTTAAAATTTACGTAAATTTTCGTTAAAAACTAGTTTAAAATTAAATTGTTCAACTATAAAACCTTTTTCATCAGGAATTGCTGTAGAACTAACAAGTGTTGTTTTTTGAGTTGTAGATGTTGCAGTAGTTAAATCTATTAAAATATAAGCTGAATTCATAATCATGGCTTACTATACTATACAAACACTACTATATATATATATATATATATATATATATATATATATATATATATATATATATATATAATATATATATATATATATATATATATATATATATATATATATATATATATATATATATATATATATATATATATATATATATATATATATATGTACATACACGGACAGATTTCGCACTGATGTAAGCATAATGTAAAAAAAAAAACTTATATAAAGTCTCTTGTATATCATAGCGCATCGGTTATAGAGATATTAATCATGTTAGCTTTGCGATTGGTTTAAAATTTCAGTATTCACGGAAGGTTTTATTGTTGTTGTATAACTTGATCTAATGTATATATGGATAAACGTTCATCCATATATAATGTATATATGGATGAACGTTAATGTATACAACCCAACGTTGCACTGGCAACGTTGGGTTGTATACATTAGATCAACGTTTATCCATATTCATTGGAATTATCGTTTGGTTATATGCAATTAATCAACGATTTGTTTAGATTGTAAAAACAATTAATTTTTGAGATGATTTTGCAAACGTTGAATCAATGTACAGGCTGTTTTTATTTGCGTCGTTATTAATCTTTTTTTATCAATAATCATTGCTAAACCCTGATTAGATCAACGTTGGATTTGAATCAAAAAAACAGCAGGAAAAAAAAAAAAAATTGAAAATAAGTTGTTTCATAATGTTATCATATTGTTCAGTTTAGAAAAACTTAACTTCTAATTATGGCAAAGAAAAGTATGTATTATATTTTTAAGTATTAGCGTAAAAAGGGTTACTTTGAACGTTTTTGAGATATTTTTACTTTATCTTCCTTCACTATTGATAATATTTGAAATTTAACAAAATCAATATAAGGGCTAAACCTGACTCTTTCATAATTCAAACTCAAAATAATATTTGAATATAAGGATTTTGTATGAGATTAATTTAAATAGTCATTCAAAGTTACCCCACAAATGGAGTAACTTTGAATGCGTTTTTTGTAAAAGCAAAACCTATTCAAATACGCCTTGTTTTGTTATAAAATTTAATAAAAACCGCAGTCTAGTTTCACAGTAATTTATTATTGCAAAAATTATCTAATATTATATCAAACTCCCATTTAGTATTTTATTTTGTTTAGATGGTTTGTTTTGAGTAGGTTTAAACGAATTTGTACACGACCTCTACAAGAATTTTCATTTTATATACATTTTTGCTTGTGGCTTTATAAAAACTCAAATAGTGTATACATTTTCAAAAAATTTTTATTCATAAAATAAAATAATTTTTAAATACAATTTAAAACTCTTTTACTACCACTAATACATGACATTGATAGTACTATTACGGAGTCTTTAAAATGATTTGACTTTAAATAAAAAAAAGATTTTTCGAAAAAAAGTTAATTTAAGTTTAGTTTAAAATTTGAGAAAAGCTTTGAGACGTAATTACATTTGAGAAACGTAAAGGGGTTTTCATAAAGTAAGTCTGGTATTGTGTTTATACTCTTCCAGCTAATTGCCTATGAGAGTATCTCATACCATCGCGCGTTCGATCGGATGGCATTTAAATTTAGAAAATAAGATGGAATTTAACGCTTTTTTAACTTCATATATGGACGCTAAATGGGCCTCATATGGGCTAGCCCTTGAATACAAATTTTTAACTTTTTTAATTACATATATGGCCCAAAATGGGCCCTAAGTGGGCTAGCCCTTGAAAACAAAATTTTGTATTCAAGGGATAGCCCACATGGGGACCATTTTGGGCCAATACATAAAGCCCACATAGGGCCCACTTGGGCAAACCCATATGGGCCCCAATAGGACATGTTTGCTGGAATATTTCGCCGAGCTAAAAAACGTGATCAAAATATCACAGACGAAAACAAAAAGTGTAAATATTTAAGAATACCTAGAATAATTGATAAACATTTTTCCTAATAATAAATTATTTTTTGAAATTTTTTTATTTTTAAATAAACATAATTATTTTTAAATAAACATAATTATTGTATAAATGTTTTTAAAACTAATAAGTTGAAAAAAAATCCATAAAATATTTTTGAGCGGTATTGTTATACAAATACTCCAAATGTGCAACGCTCGCGATGGTTTCACATACGTTGGCCGAAAGTATGTGTCCTAACTGGGAATAACCCGTTTTTTTAGTTTTTTTTTGTTATACGAAGAGCAAAATATTAAAAAAACAAAACAAACAAACTACTACTTAAAGAAGGAAAAGATTTGAGAGAAAAAGGTAAATTTGCTCAGATTGTCTTATAGGCGCAATCTTTAGTAAAATTCATTTATTTCGTAGTTATTCTGTTATCTTTAATATTTTTCTAATAAAGGTTTTTTAAATACTAAGAAGGATTAAAATTTAAAAGATTTTTTACAAGATTTATTAAAAGATATTTGACAAAAATGAAAATTTTTTTAGTGAGGCAGATGCTTTACAAAGCAGCTGCAGCATTTTTTTTTTAATTTTATGAAAAAAAAGAATCTTTAGAACGTGAAAAATTTAATGCAATTCATCTTAATACAGGAAGTTGTATAGTTACAATAGTGCTTAAAAAATTTAAGAATTTTTAGTGTAATATGCCTCGGTGCAGTTCTGATGAACTAAATCTCGGTGCAGTTCTGATGACTCAAATATAGATTATATTCTCAAATACCCAGGCTTTTATTTTGTTGAAGCGTAAAACAAACAAACGGTAATAAATAAAATTATGCGACTTAAGACTAATATCAAAGAGCTGATTATACTACTTTGTTTTAGAATATATAAATGCCTAACCCAATTTTAACCTAATTACACACACAGACCTTTTGGTCTGTGTGTGTGTAGGGAGCGGGTAGGTACAGCCCGGTGTAGTATGAGATTTTTACTCCCGCGAGTTTTTTTTACTCCCCAGTAAAAATCTCATATTAAATTTTTACTCCCATTATGAGATATTTACTCCCATAAAATATTTGCGTCAAAATGTACTTTACGACTTTGTTATGTTTTGACAATATTTTTAACGTTTAAAAGATTGTGATTTTTCAAAAAGCAGTAAAGAAGCAATTCCGTTTAATATGAACGTTATTTAAAACTTTTTTAACAATTAAGATGAATACAACTCAGTTTTGCTAAAATTTTCTAACCGTAAGCGCAACGAGGTACACGAGGAAATTATTAGGCATTTAAATATTGGATGAATATTTATTTATTAAGATGCATGCATAAATTGGTTGAAGATGCGACAATGGGAGCTGACGATGATATAATAGGATGTGCTTCATTTATGGTTGGGGGGTTAGATATCCATATATATACAGTATATACAGTATATATATATCCATATATACAGTATATATACAGTAAATATGGAGCGGAAAAAATTTCAATAATTGAAATTAAACAACAATATTTAAAATTCATGAAATAAATACATATGTAAATGAATTAGATTTTCAACTGTTAATCACATCATCAAAGTGGAATCCAATCGAGTTGTCTAGAAATATAGAAAAATCACTTAATTTATGAAGTCGTACACTGCATGGGTAGGTCATCCATTTTGGTTTCACTCCATTTTTGCTGTATACTTGAATATACATCTCCATAAATGAAGTACATCTAATTATCTCTGCATCAGTTGTTCAGGTCACATATTCAAGAATTTTAGTTTTATAAATATGCATTCGAATTGACAAATTAAAATATCGAGTTATTTCATCCTGTATTTTGTTATGCATATGGTTAACAACTTTGTTTCTAATTGGCTTATGTTCATCTTCATTTCCAGTTATGATAAAAGAAACTGCTCTAAAAAAGCAAAAGGTTTCATCTCCTTTAGCTCTATGGATTCTCCTAGGACAAAGAGTTAGGTTGATGTTTCCTACTGCGACATTGTGTTTCCTGATAATTCAAAACTTTTCTGTAATTGATTTTCTCATATCAAAAGTGGCACATTTCGTTATATATTATCAAATCCTAAATATAAACAGGTTACAAAGGTTTCAATAATTTCGTTTAAATACTCGCTTCTTTATTAATTTTCAAAAAAACCGCAGTAATAAAAACGTTTAAAAGTATTCACAAAGTACAACGTTGTTTGGTTGCAAAAATACATTTTGTCGCAAAATATTTTATGGGACTAAAAATCTCATAATGGGAGTAAAAATTTAATATGATATTTTTACTAGGGATTATAAAAAACTCGGGAGTAGAAGTCTCATATCGGGTTTAAACACGCACATAAAAATAAATTCGATAAATTTGAAATAAAACAAAAATTATAGAAAATGATTTAAATACCACCATGATAATTATGATAATTATAAAAAAATAATAGTCAATAGTATTACAACAATATTAATTAATATAATTAATGTTTAACTTGCTGCAAAATGCCACCCTTTTTCTACTTAACGAATTTAAAGATACGAATATACTAGACTCACTTTTTTTTACACATAAACCACAAGTTTTTTGGCAAGTCTTCAGTACTCTGTTTTTAAATGGCCCTTTTTGACAAAAACCTTGTATTTTCCAGTTTAAGCATATCTTGTCATTTTCTAAATTAACACATTCTAAAAATAAAAGTAAAACAACAAATTAAAATGGCATAATAAACGCCTATTAAAGCACAAAACAATTTCATTGATTTTAAAACGTTATGTTTATACGATGTTCAAAGGCGTTTCCTAGTGCGTGTTTGTTTTTAATAATACGGAACGAAAGCTTTTTCTTTCATAGACAAGGTAGCCAAAATAGGTAAATAAAATTTTCTTTTATTCTTGAAAGCTAATTTCCTACTGCTTAGCAACACTGAGATTAAGGTAAATCTTAATTATATTTTCTGGTAACAGTAGCCTCAGAAGTAGTGATCGAAAAAGTAAAATATGGTTGCAAAATGTTTTTTTGAAACTTTTTACCATGCTACCTAATTATTTTTCAACTTTTTCTTAAAATGCTCCAAATTAAGAACATTTTGAGAGCTCACAAAAATAAAAAATATTTTCTAACTTGAATAATGATGAATTCAGTGGTGTAAACGACTGCTTACAACTAGTGATGTATCGAAGTGTGTCTTTTAGATCAATTTGCTTCTGGCTGGAATTAAAAAACTTTTTTTACTTTTTTTTTATGACATGTGACACAGGCTGTGTAAATAAATCAAAAAATCATTATCCTAAAGAGTAATGAAGAACTATAGGTAAACTTAGGTAAAAAATATAAATGCAATTTTATTTGCTGAAATAGTAGTACTGCAAATACATTTGCAAAAATTACATTTGTATTTTTTACCTAGGGGTACCTATAGTTCTTCATTTCTCTGTAGGGTAATGATTTTTTGATTTATTTACACAGCCTGCGTCATATGTCATAAAAAAAAAGTAAAATAAAAATTTTAGTTCCAGCTAAAAGCGAAGTGATTTAAAAGACACAAATTCCGGCAGGAATTCCAGTACATACTTACAGCATCATAAAAGTGGCGTGCATAATTGGATGTAAGTTGTAAAAGCAGTTGAGAAACTTTTTTAACATCTGTTACAATAATATTAAAATTATTATTCTGTTACAATAATATTAATACTATTTATATATTCTGTTACAATAATATTAATATTATTGTGCATCAATTGATGTTGCATTAATAATGTTATTGTTATAATGATGGTGTCGCAATAATGATGTTGTCGCCATAACGATGATCTTGAAATAACAATGATATTGCAATAATGATGATATCAACCAGTATTAAGCACTTTGAATGACGTGGAATATAATATATTTTCATAAATATTAGATAATTAAAATTTTTTTTTGTAAATTAAAAACTTAGCTGCAACTTTTGGCAAATTAATTTTTTGTTTGAAGTTTGTGCTACCAACCTTATTGGCAGTTTGCTAATTATTATTACTATTTTGCTTGATATTTGATAAGAAGTTCGCTTTTTAATTAACAATAAAAAAAATAGTTTTAATTTAATTTAATAATTTTTAATTAATTACAATTAATTAATTACTTGCTTATTATTTCAAAAGTAACTTAAGCTATCAGCAAATATTCGGCCGGGTGAATAAAAAAAAGCAATTGCTTTTACTCAGTAATTGGTCAACTTTACGTAAATAAAAAGTTCACCAATTTTGGTTAAATTAAAAGCTCAGCAATTACTCTGCGTTTTTGGAGTAAATTGCTTAACTTTGCATAAATAAAAATTTGAGCGATTTAACTCAAACTTTTGTTCACGTAAAGCTGAACAATTACTTCAAAAATGCTTAGTAAAAGCAACTGCTTTTTTTACTCACCCGGCCTAGAAAATCTAGATTCTTTTGAACTTTTTTTCAAAGCAGTATATCTTTGATATTTAATTTGCATGATTGGTATAAAGCACTACCAACATTTCACAAAGTACTCATTTTAAACACCCTTTCTCGTCTTATCACAAAATTCTAACCTACTCCTCCAACCACTTTAACGTTATTTATGAAAGCCCTAACTATTTACACTTTTAGGTACTTTAGAAGACGAGAATTTATAATACAAAAAGAAACAATTATAGAATACCAAACGCTTTGTATAAAAATGAAGCAAAAATTAGTTTTGGTGTGATTTTGAAGCATGATATTTAGACAACCGATCTGGCTACCATATATATTTTATCTATTTTTAAATTATAACTAGCTAATATATTATAATGAATTGAAATATCATGAACTGAAATATCAATCCAAACAATTGGTCAAACTTTGAAGTCCAAAATTTAGAGGACGAATAAATATTTTTTAATAAATATTTTAGTATTTATCTTCTAGCATAAGTATTTAAAAATAAATTTTTTTAAGAGGCATACTACTGAGCTCAATTTAAAAAAGATGTTAAATCTATGTTATTGTTTTCTTACTATTGCAATACCCCATAAGTATTTTTTATACATATGGTAGATAAAAGGCCAATACTCATTTTTTGATAAAATAAACTTTTACTGTGAGTTTTTACTGTGAAGCCCAGGGCTTTAGCCATTATGTGTCACAAAATTGCGCTAATTAACTATAACTCGGTTTTTGAGCTAGATTTTGAGCCCAACTCCTTAAATTATCATAAGTATTTTTGCAGTTTTAGGTACTATACGAAATAAAAATTTATAATAATTTTGGGATACTTGTGGCTTTAGGTCAAAGTAAAAGTCAAAAATGACTTAAAATCAATTTTTGTGTATTTTTGAAGCACGATTTTATTTAGACAAATGTTTACTTGACCTATTTATTATTTTAGTTCTAAAATAGCCAATAATCAAAAGAAATACTCATTGAAATGTATATAGCTTGTTCAATTTTTAAGTTTAAAAATACTTTTAACACTATTTTAACAATATTTCTAATAATTTTCTATATTCTTAAAAAATTTCTTAAACTTTAAAGTCCAATATATAGAAAACCAATGAATTATTTTTGAATATTTGTTAGAAATTCACCTTTGAGTATGGGTAGCATCAAGATGCTAAATGTATGACAAATGAAAAGGTTCACAACTGAACTCTGCCTGATTTTTACAGAAAGTTTCTCTTAAGTACAGCGGCGATTCTACCGTGTGTGGGTTGTAATTTTTTTCAATCGTTATACCCCAAAGAAGGCGATTTTCAAGTTAAAGTTGGTTTTTTGAGTAATTTAGTACGCTAGTCGGTGTTTAACACATTTTAGTCGGGTGAGTTTAAGTTTGGAGAGATTTTTTTTTGTTTGTGTATATAGAAAGCAGTTAATACTTTTTTAAGGACTTCCTCCCCCCTTCCTCCCTAATTTTATTCCTAGAACCGCCTTTGCTTAAATACTATGTTTATAGAAGTTTTAAATTTTTACTAGGCATTTGAACAAAACTAATTTAGTTTCTAGTTCCCAAAACGTTACTAAAGGAAAGAAACCAGAAGCTTCTGGTTTCTTTCCTTTAGAAACGTTTTTTTTTTTTTTTTTTTGATTTTTAAAATAACAAATTTTGAGTAACAACTTCGAAGTTATTACTCAAAATTCTTATATCTAGTAAAAACTTTTTGAAATATAAATGTACTTAAAACCATAAGCAAGTTTTTTAAATAATGACATAATGTAGATAATGAAAAACGCAAAATTAAAACCACCTCAATTCTATAGTGTAATATGATTTAGTACACTATATTTATATTTCAATGCTAAACTTTCTTGGTTTACTTAGTAATATTGTTTACGGTTTGATTAAATACAGGCTAAATAAACAAAATAGTATCAAACTTTTAAAACTTTTGTTGTGTCTTAATTATTTCTTAAACATTTTTTAAAATATTGTTTAGCGTTGCACAATCATAATAGGAGCAATTAAATAGTTTGTTTTAATATTTAGTTCTTTGTTATAAATCAAAAAACATAAAAAAACATAATGAACAACTGCGTGTGAACTGCGTTCAAACGCAGTTGCTCATCATTTAAACTTTAATTAATATTTCCTAACTATGATTTTACACAAATTTTATATTTCATACATATTTATATAATATTATTCGTAAAACTTTAAATCACAGTTTTCTTACTTTCGGATGACCCGTTACATTGCCAAATTTTACACACCCAAAACACGAGCATAAAAATGTTTAGTTTTATCATTGTTTTTCCAACATCTACACTGCTTGCGCCCACTTTTTTAGAAAATTAATTCTCAAAAGTTTTGGTTTTGAGTTCGATTTATTTAAACAACTTGAGCAATGAAAAAAAAACGAACAAAACACTGAAACAAAATCAGAGCAAATAAAAAACTCAATTTTTATGTGTTATGCGTAGGTGTATTCAACTTTTAAAGGTATACAACAATTAGAGTTTGTTTTAATACTTTTATAAATAATCTAACCTCACTGGACGTGTAAGGTGACAACATATTATTTACGTACTTTAAGGTGACAGCATATTATTTACGTACTTTAAGGTGACAGCATATTACTTAAGTAATATATTTTAACTATTTAAATATTATTTAAGAAATAAACTTTGTCTTTTTTTATATAAAAAGATTTATTGGCAACTGTTACAACTCCGCCTGAGCGGAGTTGTAGCAGTAGTCAATAAATCAGCGTCACTGTTATTAGAATTACCTAAACTGTGTTTGTCTCGTTCAAGCCCTATGAACTCAGAATAATCGTATGCTATCGCTGCTTCTTTTTTTTTATATGCTTCAAAAAGTCCAGTCCGTTCATTTTCACAACTCTGTTAGCTTTTTGCTACAAAATTGCTTTCAATTTTACTCTAACAAAAGAAACAGTTTTACTCTAACAAAAGAAACGGAGTTCCACAAGGGTCTGTACTTGGTTCAACATTATTCACCATCTACATAAATGACTTAACGGATAATTTAAAATCATTTCATAAAATCTATGCTGATGACACTAAACCGTTGCAAGAAATAAGACCTGAGTTTCACGATGCCGATTGTCTGATTCTTCAAAATGATTCAAACATTATCTCAGAGTGGTTAAAAGAATGGCTTATGAAACTAAATGTTGCAAAGTGTAAAGTTATGCACCTTGGTCATGGAAATATAAATCATGAATATGTATGAATGATGGTAATATATCTCTTATTATAGCGGCAACAGATATTGAAAGAGACCTGGGTATCTTTTTATCTAACGATCTAAAATGGAATCAACACATACAGGTTGCGACACGTAGAGCAAATATGATACTTGGCCTACTAAAAAAAACATTTAGATCAAAAGATATTAAGCTTTGGGGTAAACTATATACTACATATGTTAGGCCGCACCTTGAATTCGCTGTTCCGGTATGGTGTCCTTACTTAAAGGGAGACATCAAAGAAATTGAAAAAATTCAGCACAAAGCAATAAAAATTCCTCAAGATATAACAAGTTTACCTTATGCTGAAAGGTGTCGGCGTCTCAATTTTACTTCTTTGGAAACTCGCAGGCGACGCGACGACTTGATCCAACAGTTAAAACTTGAAAACGGTTTTGAAATTATTAATTGGCATAATCCACCTCTTCGCAGATCACCATCCGATGTGCTAACGCGTGATTTCACTTACAATAATGCTCGACATAATTTCTTCACAAATCGTGTTGTGAATGATTGGAATTACTTACCGTTGTCATGCAAATAGGCTCCGTCAATTAACGCATTCAAAAGTAGAATTGACAAGTATTTTTTTCCTACAGCTGCAAACAGTGCATCTTTTACAGAAGATGAGCTGCATGTTTAATTTAATTAATTCGTGCTTTAGCAGCTACAAATATTGACTTTTAAGGTACATTTGTCATAAACGTAAACTGTAATTAGATGAAAGCAAAAAAAATAAATAAATAAATAAATAAAATAATTAAAAAATAATAATAATAATAATAATAATAACAAAAAAAAAAAAAAAAAAAAAAATGCTTTTGTTTTTTAATCTGATTATTGGATTGTTTTTTTATTTATTTGTCATGTAATCTATAAAGACTAATTTAAATATATTACTATTACTATTACTAACAGTAGTTTAAATTTTGAATCAGGACAGCATTTATTTTTTATTTTCTGAATTGACCAGCAAGGTGGATACCTATCTGGACCTTCCATATAAAAACCTTAATGTGTTGATTTACTCATATTATTGACAATTAAAACTCTAAAGGCTTCCTCATTAGTCTTTATTTGGTTCTGATGTAATTGATGCATTAGTTTTGTTGATTTTGCTGTTCAATAATCATAATTAATTAATTGATAGTTAATAATTAATTAATAATATAGTAAAAAGAACCTACAATTTTTTTAGATTATATGATTATGCCATTTTGAACTAATACCTTCCAGTTTTAATTTTAAACTAAAATGGAAACTTCGCTTTAGCCAAATTTATATAAAGATGAATTATCTAATTATTATCTAGTTCCCTAGCATAACAAAACATATTTAAAGATATCAAATTTTAAATTTGCATACCTTTTTTTGGAGTAGCTCGGGGCAGCCAGTTTTTGTTATAATTTAAATAGAGAAATGTTAAACGTTGACTTTTGCTAAATAAAGATGTTTAAAACAGTTTTTTTTTTTTTTTGGCTCCATCGTATTTGAATTTCAAGGATTTTATGACAAATTTTTAATTAAATAGCTGATTTTTAAAATTTGAAAATACAATAACAACGATAACTATTAGTAACATTAACATTGAGGATAATATAAACAAGAGCTCAATACATGTAACAATACTAAATGTTACTTACTGGTTTATTTTATACAATATTATAATAAGGTATAGATATAATAATATTATTAACATTTACAGGTATAATTCTTTATAGCAGGGATGTCCTAAAAGGACTTCGGCTTTATAACTCTGTTTTTTGCAGGTCTCTAGTGTCCAAGAGCTTTCAAATTATCAGCAATAAGAAAACAATTATGAGCTTTAAATAACTTGGACCCTATTGTTTTTTAGCCTGGAGTTCCGGAGATATGGCCGCCATTATATATAATATATAAGGACTCCGGGTTTAAAAACTGAATGTTCCTCTAACCTAAAAATCTTAATTTTTTTCTCTTAAATAATCCATCAGCATATTAACACTTTTAAAGCTCCTGAATACTAAAAACTGGATAAATTAATTTTTTAGACTTTTGATTCCAGAATTCCTTTTGGGACTCAACCTTGCTTTGTAGTCATAATTATATAATTTTAATGATTGTAGTCATAATTATATAACTTTAATGATTGTAGTCATAATTATATAATTTTAATGATTGTAGTCATAATTATATAATTTTAATAATTGTAGTCATAATTATATAATTTTAATGATTGTAGTCATAATTATATAATTTTAATGATTGTAGTCATAATTATATAATTTTAATGATTGTTACAAAAATAATTTCTTTTGGACAGTTGTTAAAAATTTGTATAATTCTTTATCGACAATTTGTTCAAGCCAAGTGACTTAACCCATTTAGAGTAAATTTTTGAGAAGACAGTTTTTAATTTATTTTTTGCCACAACATGTAAAAGGTAAATATACATTAAATATATTACGCAGAACTTCTAGGAGATCATAAGCCATTATCATAAGCCATTTATATATATATATATATATATATATATATATATATATATATATATATATAATATATATATATATATATATATATATATATATATATATATATATATATATATATATATATATATATATATATATATATATATATATATATATATATTATATATATATATTTTATTTATAAAATATATATTATATATATATTTTATAAATAAAATAAGACCATCTAAAGTAAAAATCTAAGTTAGGTTAAACTGTTTTATTACAAGGAAAAGTACTAAGATAAGAAATACAAACTGGTCATTTTTAGTTTGGCAAAATGGCTCTTGGATATATAAACCAACACGAAAATCACACTTGTTTTTAGGTTTCAAATTATTAAACATTATAAATACACTAGGTGGTATACTTTATTTAAATTTAAACGTAAAACATAAAAACATTTAGTTCATAAATATTCAAAACTTTTATTTCTTTAAGAGTTGGTGTTGAGCTTGAAAAACGATTTGCAAAATTAATTGCGCGTGCAGGTGTCAGATTTAAACATAAATAAATGATTATTGCTGTGATTCCACAGACAATAATTCAGTTTTGTGAGAAAGTTAGAAATTTCCACAATGAGTGTGGCTGCTTGTTACTTACATTCTGATCTACTAAAGTGTTTTTTTTTTAAAGTACTTCAGTAAAAGTAAAAGCTGTCAGTTCGACTTCTATTTTTCATTAAAATCTATACCATATTTTTTTGAAATCTATATCATATTTTTTTAATTCAGTCTCAGAGCGAAATAAAAAAAGTCAAATTCATGTCAAAAAATGCATCTCGAACTAATATTTTCAAAAAGATTCAACCTGGTTAGTCACCTGCTAAACGTTTTTCCCCAATTGATAATCTTTTAATCGATACAGTACATAATCAGGTAAATAAATTCAAGCAAGAGTTGATATTCCTGTCAGAAACATTTGAAAACAACATTATTGAAGATAGTTGCTTTTATATTTTTTAAACCTCATTAAACTAAATAGTATTCTCTTGTATTTGTAGCATTGCATCAGCTGCAGCATTACTTATCTGCAGCATTGCATCAGCTGAGCGAACAAACAAAGTATTTAAAAAATAAAAAAAGAAGTTGTTTAAGCGATACAAAAACATCATAGCTTTTATTTATTGTTTACAATTTGAAAATGCAGAATAGATTAAATTTTTCTAATAATTATATTAGGATTGCTTTGGAACATATATAGTTGTGAGTATAAATCCACACTTTTTCTGTACAATAGGAAACTGAAAATTTTGGTATTTTTTTAAAAAAATTCACAAAGAATTAACTTAAAAAATTAAGATTGAACGGAAATTATATCTTATTTTAGGGTAAAATTTTAAAAATCATCAAAAATATTTTGTTACTAATCACAAATATTTTCGTAATGTTTATAACTGATTACAACTTTCGTTTAATTTTTCGTAACTGATAACAAATTTTGTTTGATTTTTCGTAATCTCATCTTTATCGCACCTGTTTCTAAAAATTATAAATTTAAAATAAAATAGTCAAAACAAAAAAATTTAATATATTAAACGAGACACTTGGCTTCCAAAACTACATGAATGATAGAAACAAGTCATAAGTCACAATAGACAAGTCAATGGACAAGTCACAAC